GGGGGGGAGCTGTAGCGCCAGCCTTCTGGGGGGACGGACGGCCCCGGGTCCTGCGAGTGACGCGCCCTGGCGCCAGGAGAAGGAGAGGGAAGGGGGGCACACCCCTTCTGCCGAGGAATTTGAGATTCGGAGAGCGACCGCGACAAACGGCCAGCCAGATATATATATATATGCACTCCGGGGAGCGCGCGAGTCCACCCGAGGCGGGACGCGCAGAGGTTGGCGCCGCCGAGGCGAAGCCGCTTGATCACACACTGCGAGCACAGTCTTTGCGTCCATTACCTCGAGGGCGTCCTCACCACAGGGGTGTCCGTGCAGTGGTATCGCGTGCGACCCCAGAGGACAGGCAGGCGCCCCCCCACCACTACTCCGTCACTCGCGCCATTTCACTAAATCGGACCGCAAACGACTCCTGCGCGCCACGCTGCTGCTGCAGTGTGAAGTGATCGAGGACCTCGCCAACCTCTAATTGTGCGCGCGACGGCAAGGGGCCCGGGGCCCAGGGCCCAGTTGAACGGGACGCCCCCAAACAATTGGAGGCGACGCGGCGAGGCGGGGCGGGGTCGAGGGGGGCGCCGGGCGGGCCGGGCGGCAGGCCGACAAGTGCTCCCCGGGGGCCCATGCCGGACACACAAGCCCGGGCCTGTCCGCGCCCCGCCCCGCCCCGCCCCGCCGCGGCCAGACCCTTCCCGCCCTGATGTATGTACACGCGGGGGGAAATCAAACTCCGACTTAACGGCCTGATTAACTACGGGGCGCCGCGCCATCCCTCCCGCACGCCGCCGTCGCCGACAGCGTCCCCTGACCAGGAAGGCGTCCCCTAGGGGCAGCTCCTGCACGTCCACGCCGTCCTACGACCTCCTCACAGTCCGCCCGTCTGACCTTCAGGTGAGGTGATGTCCGCACAACGCCCATACGCGACGCTCACGCTCACTGACCACGTCAACGTCCAGGCTCACGCCCACGCCCAAACCCACGCCCCTCTCCCCACCGCCCCCACCACTTTCGACTTATTTTTCAGTTGCGCCCGCCGGCTCGGAAGTAATGCGCCTGCAAAGCGGGAGCCAGAAGGACTCAGTCTTGGGAACGAGCCGTCCGCGCTCGCCTCTGCTGTGCTGGTCGCCTGCTCGCGTCCCCGGCTCGGCTCGGCCCGGCTCGGCTCGGCCCGGCTCGGCTCGGCCCGGCTCGGCTCGGCCCGGCTCGGCTCGGCTCGGCCCGGCTCGGTCCGATCCGACTGGACCAAGCCAATTAGCAGAATGATTAACAAACGCCTTTGCCTTTGCGGTCCGGTCGTGCCTCTCCTGGACGCCCTCGGCCGACTTCTTTGTTCGATTGGCTGCTGGCGCCGTCCTCGGCCCCGCTTCAAACCGCCCGCCCCCGCGCTCTGTCGTCTGGATACACCCAATTAAGGACATACTAAATTGGTATGGTTAGCAGTAGAAATCTCTCTCTCTCTCGTAATAGGATCTTATTTGTCTTGCGGGCTGCCGGCCGAGACATCAACCCCCGGCCCCGGGTCCGGCCCCGGGTCGGAGGGGAGGGCGGCGCAGCGAGGCGAGGGGCTCGCCGATCATGGGGTTCGCGCTCACGCCCGACCGGCCGGCGGGCGGCGCGGGGTCCACTCCGGCCCGGGTGAGTGTCTTTGGCGTCGACTGCACTCACCTTTCACGATGTCTGATGCGGCGAGCTGCGTCGGCGGCGGGGTCAGCAGGTCGTCGTCAATGCTGCTCTGGTCGGAGGAGGCCGGTGAGGCCGGGGCGAGGCCGGGGAGGTCATAAGAGTCCGAGTGTGGGGGTAACCTTGACTTGACTAACCACGATGGTGGTCCAAAGCCAAAGCGGCCAAAGTGAGCAGGTGCCGCCTGAGACGCCTTGGTCGAGGAGGAGGCCTTGGCGGGCGCCAAGCGGCGGTGGCCAGTCAGCCCCCGGAGGTCACCCTCGCCACCGTCGCGTCGGGCGGGGCCGAAGAGCGCGAGCGCGTCCAGGAGCGGCGGGGCGGCGGAGGTCGAGGTGGAGGAGGCCGTCGCCAAGGCAGGCGTACCGATTGTGGCGCCAGGATGACGCAGCGAGGGAGCCGTTGTCGTCTTGCTCCGAGGTGGGCTCGCGCGGGCCCCATCTTCCTGCCTTCCTGGAGCGAAGCCGGGAAGGTGGAGTCCCAGGAGCACCGCGCCCGGGCCATCATCGGCGTGCCATCCCGCGGGGAAGCCGGCGCGGTCCTCGGCGTCCCACGGCTCTGGCTCCAGGTCCGCGTCCACTGCGAGCAAACGAAGCAAAACAAACGTCACTCGGAGAGATCAAGATGGGAAGGAGCCGCTGCCGGGTGCCTCAGGGCGGGGGCGGCACAGACGTGAAATTGACGTCCAGCACCTAATCTCACCTCCTCTCTCTCTTTCTATCACTCCCTTCTCTCTTCCTCCCTCTGCACACACATACACACACATATAGCTCGTACAATGCAGCAGTAGCAGCAGTATTTGACCCCCACAACAAAACACTGGCTGTCCGTCACTTCCTTTGCCAAGCTGTCACAGTGATGCCATCCACGGATACTCTCAGCAGCAGCAGCAACGGCGCTCCGAGGAGCGGCACGGCTCCCTCCCTAATTCCGACCCTGGCTCCCTCTCCCTTCCTCTTTCGTCTCTCTCTCTCTCTCTCTCTCTCTCTCTCTCTCTCTCTCTCTCGAAACAAAAGTGAATCCCCCTACCGCCGGCGGGTATCATAAGGCCGGGGCAGCGGCAGCGCGATGAGCGCGTATATTGGAGTCTGGGAATAACTGATTTCATCTCGAAAATGCGGCTCAGCGCTACACGGAGCTCGGCTGGCGCAGGGCTGGCGGCGCGGAGGGCGGAGGGTCCGCGCAGCGAGGGCGTGCCAACGGCATCCTGCGGGCGAGGGGTTCTAGAGGCCACGGCCGTCCTAGAGGCCACAAGGCGCCGGGAAACCGGAGCGCTCCCATGGAGTCACCCTGAGAGTACTCTTGAAACCCAGACTTACCATGGGAACCACCCTAGTGCCTAGGAAAGCGAGTACAGTTCAGAGTGAATCTGCTTCTAGGAAACAGAGCTAGCTCCTAGAAAGCAGATTGGCCTTGGTAACCGAAGCAATTGGGTTTGTAGGAGGCAGGAGGCCGTTGCGTACGTCGTGGAGGTGAGGTGCGGGAGCGACGACACTGCCTCGTCCTCCCCGCCGTCGTCATCGTGATCCTCGCGAAGCTGACCCGGTGCCAGGTCCCCGTTACGACCCAATTCGTGCACCGACGGTCCGCCATATCCCCCTGCGCGCGTGTGTGCATATTCCGAATGGGGCATAACAGAGAGACGGTTGGAGGGGGGAGGGAGGGGGG